GTTCACACTACACTTTTTCTATAGTTAAATCTGAGTCAAGAATACGAAGCGTCTACTTCTAATATTTCGAATGTCTTTCTGACTTCAGCTTTTCCTTCTCATAAGAGAAGTGCCGAGACAATGCCGCATGGTTTTGGTATGTCAATGTGGTACTGATCAGTACCGCACTCTAATACAAAATTCCGTATAAACAACCATAATAAAAATCTAATTAAATTGATTAAATAAATTTCAGTGTGGCACTGATTTTTGCCAGTGCGGCACTGTTTGGGCAGAAATATATCGGCACTGGTACGTCACTTGCTGGGCATGCGTGCGCACTAGTACCAGTGAGCGATGACATGCTAAGCGCACCGGTGCGGACTGGAATTTTTCTATAGAGTGGTTATACCGACGTCATACAGAGGCATACCGCATGGTTACCGACGGTATACCGGACAGTATTTTCGTTTACTATGGCGGTATATTTCACGGTAACCGTCGGTATTTTGCCGGTTAAGCACTTGGATGTACAATCGTTTGTTTCACGTTTTACTTGCGTTTTCACTGTTAACATTTCGTGTTTAAAAGTTAAAAGGCTTATTCAGATAAAAAGGCTTATTCAGATATTGGTCAATTGTTGCTAATTTGTTTGTCGTTAACATGTTTTTAGTCATCTCTCCTGATTATCTGAAATGCAAAAGACGTCATATCATGTGCACAAAATTAGAGGACAGAAACAATATAGGTACTAAATAAAAGAAAACATTTGTGGATCGTATACACCTCTTTTGGATCATTGAGACAAGCCACTTTCTCTAACCTAACCTCGCTCTATAAGTTTAGTCTTGACGTTCAAACTGTTTTTTGAATAAACTCTTTTTTTCTCACTAGCTGTCTATCTATCTGCAGATGCCATGAATCAACAGTCGGTTATAAAAAATTTTATTTGAAAAGAGATAGACATCAAATTAAAAATAAGCCTCATGAAGCGACACCATCTTCACTTAGGTTAAGAATCACTTATCACCAGTTCGCTTAGAAAAACAGTATACAGAGCGAAACCAAAATGTATGTACAGATTGTCATTAGAAACACTGAAAAGCAGTATTAGCCTAATACAGCTTGTTGAGAATAACGATTAACTTTACGTAGGTCAGATGAGCAAAAACTCTTTTATATAGTTGTCATTTTATACAGAAGTAGAAAAATTGTCCTGAAAGAGATAAACGCTAAGTAGAATCGGGGCTTAAGTTTGTAGTATAGACGCTTCGTATTCTTGACTCAGATTTAACTATAGAAAAAGTGTAGTGTGAACATGCCCTGAAAATATTTGCTTTCTTCTATAGTAGTTCAATTCTGGATCAAAATATTGTTACAGTATAGAATGCTGATTCATTCTTTTTTTCTTCACTCGTACTGATGAATAGTGTTTCCAGTGAAATTTTATCTTTAATTATAATTGTACACAGCAAAAGTAAAGTGCTCTGTACATTCTGAAAATTGAGTGTATACCTTATTTCTATTATAGAGATACCTCAAACATAAGTTAAAATGCGAAGATAAACTGGTTGCTTTGCTCAAACAAAAACTCTTATTTTGTGGTTAAAAATAGCATATTCGAGCACTCATTCATTTTATGCTATGGTACTTGAGGCAAATCATCTTAAATAAAAAGGTTAGGAGTACATTTTAATTATTAGACCCTCTGTCTGTGAAAAGATGAAAGCTATAGAAAGTGAACCTATCGATTTACAGCATCTGCAATAATAGATTTAGTGGAAATCCTTCGCACTACAGAATACAAAATAGTAGAGGAGGCTAATTGCCTCGAGGAGAGGAGTCGTCATTGATATTGATCTCATGTCTTCGATTCAAGAATGACTCTTACACGCCGAACTAAGAAAAGAGGATGGTAATATGCAGCGTGCATGATTATCTTTGCTTATAAACTTCCATAGAAATAATAGATCATATCTTGCCCCTTTAATAAAGAACATATGAGATCGTTTTGGGTTTTTTGACGATCTTTATGATATTGTAGTATGTTTTTTGGTTTTTTTATAGATTCAAACATTTTTTTCAAAGAAAAAACATGTCATATACCGAGAAAAAGCCGACAACTGTTTATTTGAACAACATAATCTCAAATGACGAACTGTTAGAAAAATTTCAGCAAAGTTATTCAAATACTATGCCAATTAATGAGAAACGTACGGAAATGCACAATAAAATCTAAATTTGATTTAATTTTCAGTTGACGTAAAGGATGTTGTTGTCTACGTTTGAGAATATTTGTATGAGTTTAAAAAGTATTATATTGCATGGATAGAAGCTTGAAAAAGTTGAATGAGTGAATATCTTTTTTTCCTTGTAATTTGAGGAAGAGCTTATAAAAACTTTGAAGAGTAGAACTTTCTGAGTTCTGTTATCTTTTACAACATTTTTATATTATCAATATTTAGTTATTAAACTTGTCCATGAGCCATTCTCTCATTCGATTATCGACGATTTTATTATCGATGAAAACAACTCTTATCTCCATCAGTTAGCAATTGAATTAAATAATATCAAGTTTAACAAAAAAGATAATGATTTATACAAGTTTAAACAGGTTAGTAAAACACGAAAATGGCTGTTTTGTTTAAGAAACAATTTTCTTATCATCTTTTTTCTTCAGAGTGATGATTTAACCAATATAACATTGCCAGCAATCGAAAAAATCAAGTATGTAAGAGTGGAGAGATAAAAAAAAATGAACAGGTTGTATTGTGAACTCTCATTTTCTTATAGACAATTTCTTTATATAAATTTTAAAGATTGGTTAATCAAAGCTACAGGAATTCAGCTCATTGACAAAATTGATATGACATGTTCGATTTATAGACATACAGGTTAGATTTTAGTTAAAATTCTACTTCTTTTTTTTATTAGTCAAACACATTTCTTTCTCTAAGAATTGTTTCACAACTCTGTATCGATGAAAACTTTAATTATTTTGTTTAGATTATTTACTGTGTCATGATGATGATATTCATGGTGATGTAGAAGGTCGTCGTATTGCATTTATTTATTATTTAGTTCCACTGACTTGGTCACATCAAGACGGTGGTACACTTGATTTGTTTGACATCGATGGTACATAAAACAGTTTTCAAATAAAAATAATTTTATACCTCTACATTTTTTTTCTTTTTATTGTAATAGAAAATCAACAACCGATTCGCATTGCACAAAGTCTCATACCAAAACATAATCGTTTAACATTCTTTGAAGTTAGTGATAAATCGTATCATCAAGTAAGTGAAAGATGTCCATATGATATCCTATAACTGTCGGAATAGTTTCGTTTTCTTTTAGGTAGCTGAAGTGTTGAATGAGATGGATACTCGGTTGTCAATAAATGGTTGGTTTCATGGACCAGTTCATAAACGACCATTACCATACGTAGAAATTCCATTAAAAACTCAAAAACCATCAGAATTTCAACAGAATGATGTAAGGAAAACAAACACAAAATAAAATATCCGTCTTTCTTAAGCATTTGTTTTATTCGAATCTCACAGTTTCATCTCTCATAGAAGGAATAATTTGAGCTCTATCATTTGTTTATTAATACCAACTGATATGTATCGTCATATAATTAGATATTTTTTTATTTATATTTCTAGCTTGATCGAATAAAAACTTGCATAGAATCAATGTATTTAGATGTGGCTATACAATATGATATACAATCAAATTTTCAAGATAATTCTGAAACAAAATTAGAACAATTTCTCAAAGTAGATAAATAGAAATAATGTTATTCATGTTAACCTGAAATTCATGTGCAAGTATTTTAAACTCTGTCGGAAAAAGGCAAACGAAAAAACGTTCTTCATTTTTCTGAAAAAATTTACTTTAACTATCAACATTAAATTTTCTTTTGAAATTAAATTTTTAATCTTTATTCTTTTCAGAAAGATTATTATCAATCATTAGTCAATGATTTGAAGCGTGAAACGATTAATTGGACGCTACGTGGTCCCTATAATAAACGGTAATTAGATATGTTTTTTGTGTTACATTTGCTTTTTTTATAGCGTGAATTTTATTCTTTTTTAGACATTATGAAATCGCCGATATTTCTACTTTACCGTCGAGTATCAACGAGTTAATTCAATTATTTGGATCTGAGCCAATGTTTACCATAGTGGCATCATTAACTGGTTTAACATCAGAGAGTAATGAAAATAATGACGATGATAGTGAAGAAGATAGACCAACATCTTCTACATCGTATGAGCCCACAACAAAAAAACAAAAAACATCAACATGTATGTTTTTATAGAATCTACTATTTTTCTTATTGACATTGTTAAAGTTCGACATTTTTACTTGAATACAAAATATTAAATTACACAGCAGAAAATTTGCAAAAGTTTTGGACGCGTGCTGTAAAAATTCATTTTCCAGGTAGTACACTGAAGGCTCGAACCTGTGAGGTGGTATAAAAGGCCTCAAATGCTTCAGTTGAAAATTTGATCATTACCACGTGTTTTTTCCGTCGAACTTTTTTAACGCCTTGAAAACGTTTGTTGTTCCAACGCATTCAAACGCATTTATTTTTACGAGTTTCACATTTAAAATCGTGATTTTTGACGCGCTGAAACCGTTTTCCACGTTTTTTCAACGCGTCGTAGACAGTTTTAAATGTTTTTTTCGAAAAATAAACGCATTTAAATGCGTTGAAACCACAAACGTTTTCAACACGTTAAAAAAGTTCAACATTATCTAGTGGCAAAACGCGTGATAATGATAAATTTTTCAATTGACGTTTAAACATGTCCAAAACTTTTGCAAATTTCCTGATGTGATATATTTTCGCTCATACTAATTCTTTTTAAAAATACTATAATATTCACTGATAAAATAAAAATAATTTTATGTTCTTATGATCCATAAATACGAGAGGAAAGATTAGTGAGTGATGATGTTCTTTGATGACAAATTTATTTTTAAAACTGAAACTATTAGATAATACATGACTATATCTTTGCTGACGTAAATCAATATATGTTTATTCTTATTGTTTAGCTGAAGCATGTGCAAGTGCTGTTTCAACATCTCAATCATCAAATGGTTGTTCATCTTTAAAAACATGTTGTTGGAATTTTGAATTACGCCGTTGGAAACATACTTATTATACATTAGCGTTTGATGACGAGAGAGATGAAAATGGTGACGATGCACTCGATGCTATGCTTTATTTTGGCTGCTCCGGTAGGAACTATTTTCAACTATCAAAATGTCATGCGCTTTGCACTTATATGTGGTTCATTTAGTTTAAGTTCTATTTTTTAAGCAGACTGAAACACTTGTCTGAACTGTAAAGAGTTTTACAGTAGAACAAGTGTCTAGTTAAGTTTATTCAGTAGTTTTTGTTAGAGATATTTGATTTTCAACACTGTAAACTATTGTAACTTTTCATCAACTTATTATTAATTTGGAGTGTATTTGAGATGTTATTCTAAATTATCGACTATATTTTCTTAAAATTTAAAGTTTATTAAATTCATTGTTCTTTTAGAAAGTTTAAATGATTCTGATTGTGGTGGTGATGTGTATTATATACAAAAAAATGAAGATGAAACTGTAAATGTATAAATGTAGACAATATTCTTTTTATAATTAATATTTTTTTTTTCATTTTAGTTGCTTTCCGTTGTGCCGGATGCTAATTGTTTAAACTTGGTTTATCGTGAATCAAATGATGTATTAAAATTCACAAAATATATTAATTCACGTTATAAAGATGAAAATTATTTCTATGAATTTTATGCGTGTTATTATAATTTAGATAAATTAAAAATAGATTAAACCAGTTGTTGTTATTTACTAGTTTGTTTTTGACAATAAAAATGGAAAATGATCTTGCTTGTCTGTCAAGATTTGCTTCAATTATTTTTTCTGTACATAACACAAAATTGATGTACAAATGCATACAGCTAGACATGTACCAGTTAAAAACTGGTGTTAGGGCTTTCATGAAAACTGTTATAAGTCGTCTATAAAGAATTAGTCAGAGTTGCGGAACGTCTTATTTTTTTGAAAAATATTTGTTCGTCAATATTCAGCTGTGAAAAAAAATTTGAAGTTCTTTGTAACAAAAGTGTGAGCATTCTAAAATCCACTAAAGTAAACAAAAAATAACTATTCGAATGGTTTTTTTTGCTTACTTTAGTGGATTTTAGAATGCTCACATTTGTATCACAGATAACTTTGAAATATTTCTACTTATACGGAATTGTAGTCCAAATATTTTCTCAACAAAATAAGACGTTCCGTGACTTTGAGTAATTCTTTATAGGCGACTTATAACAGTTTTCATGGAAGCTGTAACATCAGTTTTTAACTGATGCATGCTTACATACAGTCCTCCTTTTGGCTTTAGATCGAAACGTATAGTCGGTTGTTATAATATGTAGACTAGGTATGTTCTGTAACGAATAATTGTCGTTTTTTTATCATTGACAACATCTTTTGTTTTCTGCATCTTACCTCTTGCCTCTCAACAATGTGAATGAATGTAACCGATCATATATTTTTATTCATGACTAAAATAATTTACTTAAAACAAAGCGTTTCTTGTTTTAATCAATGGTGGAATGATGAAAGCGTTTAATATAAATGGTCAACTAGAAAAAGTGATCGACTGTTTTCATTAAATCTGAGAAAAAGGATTAAAATAAAGTTTTTTTATCAAATGGTCGTTTTGGTACTATCATGTACAAAACGAAAAAATATATAAGAAAGTAGAATGAAATATGAATCTTACTTCACTCTTTACCAATCATAACTCATTTATACTCCAAATACACGTAGAGAGTAGAAGCAAGTACTCTTCTTTAATTTCGATGAAATAGTTTCTATTTTCTATTCTAGGTAGACAAATTTATAAAATGATTTTGAATGATGATGAATTTAGAGAAGTGTTCAAAAGATATTTATCAATCAGATTGTTCATGATTACGATTCTAAAACGTACTCATCGTTAATCAAAGAATATAATACAAATAGAATATCATTGAACATTTTGGAACTACGCCATGAAGTAAAACAAAGATGATCATGTGTATTTAGCATGGATGATCAGGGGCGCCTATCCTGTAGGAAGTTTGAGGCACAATGCCTCAAATAAAAGTAGGATGGGACGCTTATTTGCTGTGAAAATTCATTTTCCAAGTAGTACGCTGAAGGCTCGAACCTGTGAGGTGGTACAAATGGCCTCAGATGCTTAAGTGGGGATAGACGCCGCTGTGGACAATATGGTAACAGGTGTCATTGAACAACAACAATATCATGAAGAAATGGCATTAGCCTATAATCTAATAGTTATATCGTCATATCAGACAATTCAAATAATAATACAATAAAAAATATGTGACGATTGGTGTGATCTAATGAAATAAATAGCATAATTGAGAAAGTGTAAAAGTATTATAAGAAGCAAAAATGAATTGATTATATTAAAGGAGTCATTGTTTATGTTCGACAAATCTTTGACTGCTTTTTTGTTGTTAGTGGATTTGTGCAGTTTTATAAAAAAAAAAACGAAAGCAAACTTATGAAAAATGATTTTGTTCACATTAGACTTTGAATGTTTATTATTAACCTTTTTTCAAAGAAAATTTCTATTCTTCTAGTTTTTTAACATACAATGGTGTTGTTTTAGATGTCATCTTCTAGTCTTTCTCTTCGTAATAATAATCTGAATGATAATAATGATGATGAAGATTTCGTCGTTCAACCAGAATCGAGCAAAAAACGAACAAGTTCACTATCGTGTACTAGACAATCAAAGAAACATTGTTTAGATGAAAAACCAAAGCCATTAATTCATCGTAGTCAAACAGATACAACTTTATTATCATTACCAACTAAAACTCGTCAAACATCATTATCAATCATTGTTTCAAACAGAAATGAGGGCGGTAATTCACAATGGAAATTATCAACACAATCAACAGATGAAAATAAGCAAACACCAAAAAAAGAAAAGAAGGTATTTCCTAGCATAAAAGTTGATAGAGTGATCGTTTTTCTTTTATTATTATGATTTACATTTTTTCTTTTTTATTATCAGAGTAGAACAATGTTAAAAGGGACTAGTACAAAATCGAAACGTTCTTTAACGACAGCAGTGATATCAAAGTCTCAATCAACATTAATTAAAAGTGAATCTCTTGATACATCATCTCTATCATCAGTCTCATTATGTAACACATCTGACTCGACGACAATTGTAGAACTAGATGATAATTTTACAGTAGCTGAAGATGATCTCTTTTCGCAATGGGAACCAGCCAAATCATCAATAGATTCAAATGATAGTCAAACAAAATGTAGTGGAACAAGTGTACCACAAACAACCACAATTTCTGTTAATATTGCTGAAAGTCGTTCAGTATGGAAACAAATATTTTCAAAAAAACCAGTGGAAACGAACGATGTGAAAGAAATGATGAATGAATTGAAAGAACAATGGTCACAAATGGATAAGACTGTTCAATCAAATAATCGATTTTTTCCATCTTCAACGACAAAATTACCGGGACAAAAACGTGTTTGTCCATTTTATAAAAAAATACCTGGTAAGAGAATTTAAACTTTATAAATGATTATTTTACTTAAAATAAAATCTATTAATCAAAACTAGTTTCTTTTCATTTCAATTTTTTCTTCATTTAACATATGTCATGTTTTTATCTATTAAGGCACATCATTTTCTGTTGATGCATTTAATTTTGGTATTATCGAGGGTATTCAAGCCTATTTTTTGAGTCATTTTCATTCGGATCATTATGGTGGATTAAATAAAAAATTTTCAAATTTATTATACTCAAATCAGGTATTATTACACATTGTGAAACAAAAACCTATTGTTAGTTCGACTCACCATATCATATATCTCATAAAGACATCTATTCAAATAACAATTCATTTGAATAGTTTCATAAATGAATATGACTATCATTTAATTAGCAAAAAAAATGTGAAAATTGAGCAATTGGTCTGACAAATACGACTTATTTTTTTTATTGACGATGGTAACTATGCAAGGGTGAGGGAACAACGTATGAACAAATAAATAAATTAAAACTAATGGCAAATCGACTCAACTCAGTTCTTATAAAGAGAGTTTGTCTTTCATTCTCAATGGTATTTCTTACTTTATATCTAGATTACATGTAATTTAACAATGAGTCAATTGGGTATAAAAAAGGAATGTATTCGTGTACTACCTATGGATACGTTTACGCCTGTTAATGGAATTGAAGTGGCTTTAATTGATGCAAATCAGTATGTGCAAGAAAATATTGACTATTTGTATTCTTTGAATAAATAAGTTTTCTTCTAGTTGTCCAGGATCCAATATGTTTTTATATCGTTTCCCAGACGGTAAACAAATATTACATACAGGTGATTTTCGTGCATGTAAAACACTTGAAAATCATCCACTTTTACAACCAAAACAAATCGACACAATCTATTTGGATACAACGTATGTAGTTTATGTTGTATATTCTTTTTTAAATATCTGAATAATGTTTCGTGTTTTGTTATAGATATTGTGATCAAACTTACCGGTTTCCACCTCAAGATGAGATAATTAATAAATGTGTCGAATTAGTTTTAAATTCGTTAGAGGAAAATCCCAAAACATTGATAATAGTTGGAACATATCTTATTGGAAAAGAAAGAATATTTCATGGTGAATTAACAGTTTTGATAGGCTCGAGTAGTGCATATTTATCTTGCTATTTCTCTCATTTTAGCCATTGCAACAGCACTCGATTGTAAAATTTATGTTGAACCTCGTAAATATCGTATACTAAATCTATTAGAAATACCCGATTTATCTCGTCGATTGACAACAAATCCAAATGAATCTAATTTACATATTGTTGGAATGGGAAGCATCAATTATAAAGTAATGTATAGTTTATGTTACACAACATATTTAGAATAAGTGTGATTTTTATGTTTTTTAGACACTACGATCATATCTGGACAATAATTCGAGACAATATGAGAAAATAATTGGTATCAAACCAACAGGCTGGACAACACCAAAAAGTGGCTCAAACTATTCGATTGAAACAAAAACAAAAGATGTCGTTATCTATGGTAAGTAAGAGCATAGTTAATGTCAAAATTACAGGCGATACATATTACCAAATGTTGACTAGATTGAATTTGAGATATTGTATTTGTTCAAGTGTTAGAAATTTCCAAAATTGTAATAGCTATGGCTTTTAAATTCATATTTATTTAATTAAAATTAAACACAAAATATTCAAATTAAGAAATTAAAAAAAAGGTCGACATGTCAAAAATTATAGTTTTCATTCTCAAGACAGTAAAACGTTTTACACGATGTAAAGTTAAAATGAGTGTGAATGTAGAAATGAAGAGAGAGCGAAAGAGACGCCTATTCATTTTTCTAGATCTTACAGCATACACGAGACAACAAGCGTGAAAATACCTTGAGATGTTATTATATTATGTTGTTAAAATGAAGAATTATTCTCCTTGTAACAATTTTTTTGATCGAATAATTGATGAAAACCAATGATATTAAAAAAAAATTGATAATACTTTACCTATAAAACGTCTACATACAACTTCTGCCTCTAATTTATTTTCTAATACTTCTTCTCAAATAATAACTGTAAGTGTTTCTCAAAGAAAATCAAAAAATGTTAAAAACCGTTTTTCATCATACCAAGATGATTCTAAATTACGGTGTTCTTCTCGACTTGCTAATAAAAGGGCTATGGCAAATAAACAAGACGATGACGACACAGCTCAAGATCAAGACCGGATAAGGTGGCGAAGCCGGGGGGGGGAA